CAAATGTTTGAAGCGTTAATTTACAAAAAACGTATCCATTAAGTGCAACCATTGTTCTGTATCTCGTTTTTCTAGAAATAAAAATTAATATTTAATTTTTAAACAGAATAAATACAAAAATAATTCGGATAAGCGGACTTTGTTGCAGTATGATGCATATAGCAGGTTTTGATAGAATATGATCAAGAAAAAACGGCGTCAGCGATGACTATGAAATGAAGAGCGCTGTAATTTTATATGTAAATTTATATGAGAAATATAATCGATCGTGATTTCCTAGCCAAGTGGACGCCGTTTTTTTTTTCGATCATACCGTTAGGAAACTTGATTTATTAAATATCATCAAGTTAGGAAACTTGTTTTATTAAATATACTATTAAAATTAAGTAAGGATGTGAAAAGACGTCACTGTAATATTATACTTGTGTAAAAAGTTTACGAAAAAATGGGGGATTTGTAACCAATTTGTATGCCAATAAATAGCAAATATAAGTGGATAAGACGGATTTTGCTGCAGTAACGTAATTTGTAGTGAATTTTATATAGGAATAGTCGACTTTTACTGCAGTTTGGGATTATGTTTATGTAGATTTCAGGGTCCACTATTAATATAATATGTCATCGGGCCATTATTTTTAAATGGATAAGGCGGGTTTTGCAACTTGACGCCTCACTTAGATTGCTAATCTGCACTTTATCCAAGAGGTACTTTGTGGACAACCCGGACTTCCTACCACTTTACGTAGTGCTACTTGAACCACACATGATTTGCAATTCCCTACTTCTTTGCAAAGAAGAGAGTATACAGGGTGGGCCACTGAAATCTTACAATGGCTGTAATTTTTAAACCAAAAAAAGTTATAAAAAAAAATACCGTTTCTATAATATCGAGGAGAATATATATGACGTACCTATTTTTTGAACCACCCCGAGCTACCCCTTAGACGGCACCCCTACTCACTTGAATGTCCACCTAATTTTTCATGTCGTGTTTTCAATTTCACCCTAAAAACTTTATGATCATCATTTAGCATTTTTCATGGGCTTTCCAAAAACGCGCCACAAGTGGGGTGTGGCCATTTAAGATTTTCAAGTGAGTAGGGGTGCCGCCTAAGGGGTAGGTCGGGGTGGTTCAAAGAATACGTCGTATGTATTCCCCCTCGATATTTAGAGGATAATAATAATTGACTCACCAATATATGATTTGCCGTATTTACAACTCCTAGAACTCACTCCTATAACTTTTTATAGGCTCTTGACACCGCCTCAGTACTCTAGATTGAAATTTAAAATACAATTTTTTTCTAAACGTAAATATTAAAGTTCTTTCACTACACAACGTTTTGAGATCACATGGAAAACAAAAGATAATATGAGTTCACCACAATACCACAATACACCAAAACACTTTACATTTGCACTGGATGCCGTTTAGATAACTATGTTAGCATCATCAATAGATGATTAAAACTCTATTTTAAGTTTTAATCATCTGCTGATAATGCTAATTAATCATCTGCTGATAATGCATGGTTCGTGAAACGCGCGTCCAGTGAGAAAGTACAGTGTTTTTGTGTATTATTATTGTGGTGAACTATATTTTATTTTGCTGTTGTAATAATACAACGGTTCCAGCCCCCAACTGTAATCTCGTGGAAAACCAAGTCAGTTATTTTAGTTATTGTCTATGCAGGATCATCAAGATCAACAGCTTAGATATAAATTGTTTGGTTAGGTAAATCTTTATATCTATAACAATTATTATAATTATTTGGCGCTCGCACAGCAACATATTGATACTGATTGGTCAGTATAAAAGTTGATAAGTGATTGATTAGATAACAGTTCTTAACAAAGTTGTTGAATATGTGTTTCCTTAGGCACTAACTCAAAGAACTGTCGTACATGAGATCCCACAACTTTTTGTAGAGGAAGATCTGCGAACAGCAATTATTAGAAAGAAAGAGAGAATTACAAAATAAAAGTTGAAATCAAAGGGAGCAGTGAAAACTCATGTAAATTCCTATCTACTGGATAGTTAGTTACCGGTGGTAGCTAGTTTCTTGACTTTTAATAATCATTATTTTTCATTTAATGAATAAGGAATTTTCGAGACTTCATTTTTTTTCCATCCTTTATAGTTTAAACTCTAACTAAAAGTCAAAATTTGAAGTTTTGTAATTTCTAGAAGTACAGTAGAGTGTTAATTATCGGTGTTTGAGTCACTCCATCACTCCAGATATGAAAGAAATTTTACTAGCGATAATTTATAAACTAGAAGGTGTTATTAGTAAAAATGGCAAAAAGTATAGCCAGTTACACATATTACGTCCTCTTGGTCAGTAAAAATTAAAATTCTTGCTATATCCATAAAGAAATTACAGGAGCGTCAATAGTGCCATGAGTTCAAGAAAAGGATGGAACGGCTGTGCTCGCTTTGACAGATAATGTCCCATATGCGTCGGATTTCTAGATAGAGTGGTGCTAATGGATCTAAATACATTATCCATTCTTTTTCTTTAACTTTTAAATATATTTGCCTTACCAATACTAAACGTTTCAGGGGATACATCTCCCTTCACCGCCAGTAGCAAAAATCTAAAAAACAAATATAGAAAAAGTTAGTTAAAATATTGTCAAGACTTAAATATAGGCCAACATTATTATTAGGTTTATATCAATTAGGGAAAAATCATATTTCAATGAGCCGATTTGATGTAAACCCAAGGAAATCTTTCGCGTGTATGTCGACCTAGACATGTTCTTATAGTAAACATTATTAATTACAACAATAATTAAAGTTATGTGGATGTAGCGCGATGTTCCAAGGCAAGCAAACATCGGTTATGGAAATATACAAAGAAATCTTTTTATGACGCACCGGCAGATAATTGGGACGAGCAGACAAATATAAAAAAGTATGCTGAAGACAGTCAAGGGGTTAGTCAGTTAATGTTCATAGTAAGTTGCTAGTCAAATGGTTAGTCAGAAGACAGTGAAGACGTTGAAAATGTTCCTGTAAGTATTCCTTTCAGCATACCCTTAGCAAGTCTTGGCATTTTCTGAAATTGTTTTCCTTATATTTTTATCCACACTGCATTTTTATTTAATAAATGTATATTTTCCTAATGGTTGTTTTAATCAGAAGAGAGAACCTGGTCTAGCGATCCTAGCGAACAACCCCCAAGCTAGGTCACGACACTATCTTAATTTATCACCGATACATGGTGTTAAACCATTAAATATCTGAAGAGCTGGACTCGCCACAAAGGTATAGAATAGATATTATTTAAAGTAAATCCATGTTACGCTCTGACAGTTGATTCTATTAATACAAATACACAGAATTCTATCAAGTAAATACGTAAACACTAAATCAATATAGAGGAAGTTACCTACATATACAATTGATCGACGTAGAACATTTAACTCATTTATGAATAACCTACAAATTCAACGCCCGTGTTTATTATAGTAGTTTTTTAATTACGTGACTACTCCGTATAAATTCTACCTGAATTATTAAAATCGCTTTTCCTGTTTAGACGCCTGCAACAGTTGAAACCGAGTTTCTAAAATTAATTTTATAAAACAAATACGACGGTAGGTATATGCTTTTTAGTTCACAACATTTAATATAGCAAGTTGTTTTTGCTTTGTTTTGCAACATAATGAGTAGAAAGTATAAAACTTCGTTTTAGCAACCAATTAATGATGAACCTTTGAACTTAATAGACATATAAATAAATAAAATAACAGTCTGGTTAGTTACAACATTTATAACTCCATAACGGCTGCACGTTCCCGAATAGCAGAAAACTATTAAAATATCGCAAAAGTTCATGAAAAAAATTATGGAGGAACGTAATTTTAAATGCAATTGACTGCTTACGTCACGCACACTTATATATATTTAAGATAGGTAATTGATGTCCACTGCTAGTAAATGACATCGTAAGTGAAACGTGATAACCTGCTAACTCCATTTTTTACGTGAATAAGTTTTTTATACCGTTAGAAAGAGAAAAAAATACTCTATAAGTATGGAAAGCAGCTAAATTCTTTACAATTAAAAAAAATGTTATTTTAACTCAATAATATCTGCCAATGTATACCATACCAAACTCCCAGTGATTTGAAATAGTCGCCGAAATTCTGCTATCTCCATAATTTCCGTTACGATCACGCTGATACAAGGCAACAAAGCAATGAGATTTTTGAATGCCCGGAGTGCGGTAAGCAGATAACATCACGTATCGGGCTTTTCAGTCACAGAAAAGCTCATGAAAGAAAACGCCTTGCGTGACCATCTTCTGATGTGTGTCGAATAGTAGTCAGCGAGTAATGGCAGTATGTATGTATAATGGTTTATAGTCGGTAATATTATTTTAACAAAAATATCAACATGAAAATTAAATACCTTACAGATACTTCCGTACTAAGCACAGTATAAATAAGTTTTTTTCTTGTAAATAACTTAAATATTCATCACCGGCGCCGTAGAAACGAACGATTACAGTGTGATTCGATTCAATTCTCATGATTCTTTTTTACGGCTCATCGTTCAAATCTTATGGATCCGTGCTGGCCACGATTCAATTGAACGAACCGTATTATAAGCAATGAATCAATTCTCACGACTCTTTGAACCAACGATCGCATTGTTATCCGATTCAATTCTCACGATTCTTTTTTGCGATTCATCGTTCAAATCTTATGGATCCGTGCTGGCCACGATTCAATTGAACGAATCGTATTGCAAGCAATGAATTTAATCTCATGATTCATTTTTATTTAATTAAATATTCGTCATCCACTGTTAGTCATCGATTAAATTGTTTTTGTATTACTGCGCAAGCATTCTGGTTCAATGAATGACATTGATGAACTTTCTACAGTATTTCATCTGCCGTTCGTTGCCCTTGTTAATGAAATTGCCTACATTTACTATTTTATTTAAATGTGTTATGATAATTCAAGCCTTTTTTTGTTTCTTTCAGGAATATCAATGCACAAAGGATATGCCTTTGTACAGTTCACAAATCCGTTTGACGCTAGGAGCGCATGTTTAGGAGAAGATGGCAGGACAGTCTTAAGCCAGATATTAGGTAAGTTTTTGATATGGTTGGTTAATTAGTATTACTATGATTAAAAAAAAATATTTACATATTAGTAAAAATATATCTCACGGGGACGATTCCCTGCCTAATAGTGTATATTTTAAAATTCTTATACTTATTTTACACTTTATGATCAACACTGATTGCATCCACAGAAACAAAAAAAAATACACGTTAATTTAACTTCTTTTTTATGTCATGATATGATCTACACTGATTGTATTCACAGGAAAAATTCTATTAAAAATGCTGCGCAAAAGAATCTATGTTTTCCGTTCATTTTCCCGATGCCGAAAAGTAATTGCGCTCTTCTAATTTTCCATAACGTCCGAACAACTAGGCGAAATTTGGTCTGTTACCTCGAAAAAGCAATTTTTTGGCCCTTTAAAGGAAGATCTTTACGAGTCGAATGGCTTGATTAAAGCTATTAAAAGTCAAATAGAATTTCGAGTCTATGCGGCTAAGCGTAACGATATTTTAACGATCACTTTACCTTCGAAAACGTGATTTTCTCCATGCATTTTTAAGTGTTCATCGTAAAATTAAAAAAAAAGTTTATGTTTGTTTGATAGGAAATTGTTGGGGAAAAGTAAACTTTAGTAAGTTTTTATATTTTATTTTAATCGGTCAAATCTATAAGAAAATCAAAATAATTATTGTATTCTATAATGTATAGAATGTCCCAAATTAGAGCTCAATCTTTGGGATCTCGGACACTAAGTGAGATATGAGGTAGCTAACTGGACCCATAGTTGATGAAAAACAATATAAAATATGCACTTTTTGTCAACTAAATTTTTACCTTAAATTGGCAATTCAGTCTATTGTAAAAGACTGAATGTGGTTCAGGTTAAACTACTGTATATAGTTCTATTTAAAAATGCATCCGCACTTATCTGTTAAATGTTTCGGAATGTTGCGCGAAGATATATCTTTCTTTCGATGCATTGTTTGGCTCGTACCTACTTTGGCGCCAGAACAAAAGGAAAGATCGGTGGAACAACGCCGCGAGAACTTAAAAAGAAACCTTTCCGTTTGCCGAAATGGATTTAAACGAGTTTCTGTGTCTGAAAGTGCGGCTATGTCGCGTCGGGCCCACCACTTTTGCGCTTTCTACAAAAATTGTCGACTCCGTACGGTTTCTACTTTCTTAAACGCCTTTCCAAGATAATTTAAGGAAAGTGTTTAAAAAACTTAAACTGGAATCAATATTGTATAATGATAATTTGCTTTATAGGAACAAGAAGTAGTATTTTTCAAGTTATACGATCATCGATATAGTTAAAACATCATAAAAAGAGCATCATTGTACGCAAAGCCCCAGATAGGAACTATTGGAACCAAGAAATAGCAATCTTATCCGATAGTCAAGCAGCATTAAAAGCGATCAACTCAGTAACCATTAATTCGGAGTTGATCACAGGATGCCTAGAGAAGCTGAACAAATTAGGCAAAGAAAATAAAGTCCTCCTACTCTAGGTGCCAGCCCACTAAGGAATATGTAATGCTAATGTAATCTAGCTAGAAATAGAGCGAACACTACTAACTAGATTAGAATCGTTCAGCTTCCCAAGTGGAAACCAATGCAAACCAATTGGAGCTCAAGGACTTGGAAGACTCCATCTGTAACCTGGAATGGGAATCAGGCAACGGTCTAAGGTACTCAAAGAAGTTTCTCAGGACATACGACCTAGAAAAATCAACAAACTTTGGATTGTCACGGGATTTTTAACAGGACACTGTCTCCCCAATAAACATCTCAGTAGATTGAAGCTAAGAAAACAACGGCAAAAGCAGATTCTGTGGGGAAATGGGAAAAATCAGAACACATCTTCACTGAGTGCGCCAAGACAACTATTTCACTGATATCAGAGATGGACTACTCTTTGTAAAACCGTCTCAGATACTGGCTTTTGTCAAAGCCCTGGGGCTGTATGATGAATTATAACTCAAGAAAGGGGGACACAATAGATCTATATGGTCGCGATGAGTAACTTTACCCCACCCATTCAATCTAGATCGACAACTACATCTACACAGAGCCTGCACAAGTAGTATTTTTGGACACATATTAGGTAATATTTCTAATAATTGTGTCTGTTTCTTGATACAAAATGGAAACGGTATGCCACAAATAGGGAACGTTTTCGAAACCTATATAGTTTATAGGTATAGCTTTATTACATGTGTTTCCATGTATATGGTGGCCCTAGCCGTTTCCGGATATGTCTCGATGCGGAATCAAAACTTTTAGAGGAAATGTATTGTCTGCAATGTATTTTCTGCAATTTGTGTCCTAGATGTTCCCGTTTTCAGCAGCCACTCTTTCTAAATGTAAAGAAACAAAATACCAAACTAAAATAGTCTATGTCTATGTGTGGATTTCGAAATGAAAACAACCAATGTCGTCAATACACATCAACAATGTCGACCTCCGCCATAATTGTTTGTCTTAAACTCTTTGTTTTTAGGTTTTCTCGCACAAAAAATATCTGGCAAAAGCAAATTCATCGTTTAATTTAACAATGTACTTTCATGTTGTTAATGCCCCTTCCATATATCATTATTTGTTGCTACAAAATATTTTTGTTTGAAATATAGATTTTTATTTTTATTTCGATATCATGGTTCTGAAAATAAAAATATAAAAATCAATGTAAGTAGAACGCGTTCTTATGAGTTTAAAATGTCAAAAGCCGATAAAACATATACTTTTATTTAAAATTGCTATCACTAGCCAACATGGCGGAATTTTAATTCATTATTTTATAAAATTCACATGGAGTCGGACACAAATCATCTAGATTATACCATATATATGTGTCTAAAAAGAGAGAAACTCGTGTTTCGAAAATGAAACGACAATAAATGGAAACCTTGTTTCCAAAATGTTTCACTTCACCGCTATCTGTATAGAAATTTCGAACTAGTTACCTGTCAACAATTCCAGTCAAAACAATTAAAACATTTTTATTCACTTACTATAAGACAATTAAAACATAAAAACATATATTCCATTGTAAAAAAAAGAGAAAAAAACGTTTGCTGGTAACATTTTCTTCGGTTTCCTGTTGGGTATGGGTGGTGACTGTTATTAAATTTATTCCAAAAACCAATCATCTCTGTAATGCGTATAATAAACAATTATAATCGCATAAGAACAATGGAAAAAGTCTGTATTTGGACTCACCATATGTCCTTCCTTCTGCTTTTTTAATTATAGTACTATAAAAACTTGCTTAAGAATGCTTAAATGCAAAAACTGCAGAACAAAACCCAAACAATAAAGTAAGGTTATGTTCTCATATTTGACAGAATATCAAATAAATAATGGAAACTTTTCAGGCACAAAACGGGTACGAAATCTGTAAATGTGAGCCACATCTGTTTCTTAAAAGTTTCGAAAAATTTGTAACACTCAGATCTTTATTGTTATAGCTTATGTAGCGAAACCATACCAAAGTTTCGAAAAATTTTACCAATGTAAAATGTTTCGAAACAAAAAGCTATTTATGTTACGAAACATTTGTATCAAAAATGTGACGAAACTGTTTCGCAGTGTTTCTCAACAGAGATTTTGTTTCGATTTTGTGCCTAAAAATGCTACTTGGATTTTGTGTCCATGTCCATTGAATTATTTTTTTATATTTTTAGCAAAAAGAAGTATTAAATTACCATGGAATATCAAATTACGTAACTTTGCCCTAATTAAACCGATCTCATATCTCTTCTAGTGTTCGAGATCATAATGGAGGCTCGCATTTGGAACACCCTGTACAGTAAGCATTCACATCTTCAGATATTAATCAAACATACCTTCAGTAACGAATATATGATCATCTAAATGTTATTGAATGTAAAACCGAGTAGTTACTGTAAATTTGTATAAGTTAGTAAGTTTTTGTAAGTATTTTGTAGAAAAAACTGCAGAACGCCGACAAATACCGCTTAATCCGTTTTACCAAGGATTTGTCCTATTCTAGTATCTAATTATTTATGAGTATATAATTTTAAATGTTTTTATACATAATTTGTCAAACGTTTTCTTAAATATCATTGTCCATACCAATTCTAAATTTTTCAATCATGATAAAAATGAGAAAGCTAAAAATAGTTTTGCATCATTAAAACATCACGTAAAATGCCGACACTGCCAGCCCGGAGCTATTTCATAAATTTATATCGATCCTTATATGAGAAAATGATCTTCCATAAAAGAGGATTTCCAGATTTCCGCTCAGGAAATGTGATATAGTTTTCGCCACCGCAAGCCGACTATAATTATGGCGATTCGCAGTTTGTTCACGTTCCGAAATAAAAATGGAAAGTAACATGGCGCCGCGCCATCAGAAATGACCAATCGTGACTTCTAAAATTGCAAAAGCTTCCTTATTAACACTAGGCAGTATCAGCACGATCGAAATTTCAAAATAGAGCAACAAAATATATCTACTAAAAAGTCCTATGGAACGTTACTTGAACTGTAAGAAAGTCTACAAAATAAAATAGTTATTATTTGTTTTACTTCAGTAATTATTGTTATGAGATACTCGAGGGGTGTCTCACTTGGGTAAAAAATGTACACGTACTGCCAAAATATCATTCTACTGCTAAACGACTGCCTATGACTACGAAGAAGACTGCCTATGACTGCCATGTAATTATTATAGGCGACTGCCATAAGACTGCCAAGAAAATGTACATGTAATTCCAATAGTGAGACACCCCTCGGAGATACTAATTGCTAATTTTGAAGTTTAACTTGATATAATTATTTAAACAGTACGTCAACGGTTTTTATAGACGTATCTGTAGAAAAAAAAACTAAAGTGTTCTTGAATAGTTGTATTCCTTGTTCTTTGTGTTTTTTTTGCTTCTGACGACGGGAAGAGATATTCTTCCCAAAAGGGTTAAACATTTTTTGTCTGTTAGGCAAATTTGTTTTATTAGTCGACCACCGCTGACAAGATGATCTCTGTTGGATTAAC